TCAATGTATTTGGTATATTTTTCTAAAAACAAGTGCATATCATAGATTAGAGACACTCTGAGGTGCGATGATACAGAGAACCCTGTAGTCTGAGGAAAGCTCCATTGTCATTGCTATTGCAATCACACATTTGTGACCTTGTGAGCAAGAAAATGCAGCATCCCCACCATTTACCCTCACAAACAATAGGCCATATTTTAACTGAAACCCCCTCAATGAAAAAGGGCCATAAAACACTATTGTACAAAAATGAAATCTGCAATTTTCTGCATTAATTAAAAAGTTCTGGCAGTAGAATAAAGCTCACTAAATCATTGTAAATCATTTAAACAAGTGGTTTAGTAGTCTATGAAGACCTGCAACAGCCTTCTGCAGCAAAACAATAAAAATGATACAATCCACTATTAACTAGTCTCAGTTTAATTATCAAGCAGGTATTTTAGACTTTTATCTATCCTGTAGCCTTCAGCTGATTTCTTATTTACAGTATGCCTCTGAAGACTGTAAAGCATTATTGTATATATTATATTACCTAACATCAAATGCTGGAGACTGTGGTTTTTCATTTCTATAAGTTGATCTCCACTTACTTATTAAAAGCTAATATTTATCAAGTGCCTTCTTTCTGTTAAATAATGTATAACAATTATTTAATGTAAGCCTCACAATAACCCTGTAAGATAAGTATAATTACTACTTATGTTACTACCTCTAGAAATCAAAATTTAGAGGTCAAGAATCTTATCCAAAGGACAAAACCTATAATAAATGGCAGAATCAGGACACGATTCCAACTATCTTTGGTTACAAAGACTATACTTATAAACAAATTATATGGTCTCCCCCAAAACGCAAATCAAAGGGTTATTTAAACCTTATGTATTGATTGCAAAGCATTTTGGAGATTCTGCTTTCCATTAAATTCTTATGTAATGCCCATAAATTCATCAGAAAACATACAGATAAACACATCAAGTAAATATAGAAAATCTGTTTCCCAGCATCATTTAGATAAGGGTTGCTCAATCTGAACACTATTGACATTTTGGACTGGATAGTCTTTTGTTGTGGGTGGATGTTGTCCTGCGTACTGTTGGTTGTTTAGCAACATCCCTGGTTTCTGTTCACTAAAGGACAATGCCATCCCCTCTCAGCTCTGATAAACAAATATGTCCTCAGATGTTAGCAAATGTCTCCAGTAAGTCAAAGTCACTTCCAGCTGAAAAACACTAATTTACATGAAAGTTATCCTGGCAAGGACAACATAATAATGAAAGAAGAACATAACTAAGAACCTGGATAAATCAGCCTTACAAAGTGCCTCTACCTGAAATGTCCAAATAATCCTAAAAAGAAACGGTTGAAACAGGCTTGCCTTAATCAATGTTCACACTGTTATTTGTCTGTATTACCTTGTTTTAAAGGTAGAGATTTCAATGTGAGAAAGACAAATTTAAACTGAAAGAGTCAAGGTTGATGTTGACTTACATTAAAAATGCATAGTTCTATGTATCACAAATTACAATAAATGAATTTGAGGAGAGTATCCTACAATATACTTTTCAAATTCAAAGGCTGCTTTTGATATGATATGCAAAGTTTATTATCATTTTAACAAGACTACAACAATAACAATAACTTTCTACAGTAATTTATACATTGATTTTTCAAAATTTTGTTTTTAAACAAATGATATAATAGTGTATTATTTAGTTCTATATCTTTGAAAAGTTCCACATTACTATGTATTAAGACAAATTGACTTTTAAAAATATATTTTTGATGATTATTCCATAAAATGTAATAAATGTAAGAAGATTACATTATTAAATTGCTCACTAGTATCACTGTGATTTTAAGTTTTCATTTTCCTCAGAACACTTATACTCAAAATTTTAAAGCCAATGGCTTGAACAAGAATTATTGTGAACAACTAAACATTATGGAATTGTTCTTAGATCTGATATATTTGCAAGATCAACAGAATTACATATACATAAAACATATTTTTTTGCATCTAAGTCTTTCCTTTACATTTCTTCTTCAGTCTGACTGTAGAAGAAGATATCTGAGGCAGCAATTATATATTGATTTCTGATTATCTTCAAGCATTCACATTTATTTTTAAATATTCTTGAATATATGAGAAAAATAAATTTTGCACACTCCCTTGTAAAGGAAGAAGTTACTGCTGACTCAAAATTAGTAGAATTCAAAAAACATTGAGATATGTGTCTAAGTTCTATGTCAGTATCAAAAGAGATGACCCTAGATTTAAATACCTGCTTTGTCATCTTTGTTTGTACTGTGGGACATTGGACAAGTTATTTAATCTATTTTAGTCTCATGTTTTATTATTAAATTCATAAAATAAAAATAAAAGGCAATCCATAGGCTGTTTAACATTAAATGTAATAACATAGGAAATGCAGAAAACTCAACATCCAAAGGCCTGATAGGACTGATAGTTTATACACTGTTCTTTATGAATCAGATACTTTTACTTTAAAAATTGTATTTTTTTCTCTTAAAAAAAATGGAATACATGTGTGAAATGTGCAGGTTTGTTACATACATCTATATGTACCATGGTGGTTTTCTGTACCTATTGATTTTATTTTTATTTATGCAATTAATTAATCATACTCAATGCCATGTACTGCTATAACCCATCCCTGATTTTGAAAATAAGGAAATTGAGCTACATAAATTCGAGTAACTTGCCTAAGTTTACACAAGTAGTAAGCCACAAAGCTGAGATTCAAACTCATGCAATTCGGAGCCATGGCCTGTACTTGCAATTATACTACAACTCAATGGAAACCACAATCAAATAATCCCGTGATGTTTAGTGTTTAGTCACACCATGAAGCAGCTCAGTACAAAGAAAACAGGGCAAGTTTTAGTGCCAAACAAATTAAATCTTTGCATATGTACATATACATATATAACATAAATAGGTATATACTTCCATTAGTTCTCTTTTACATATGTAGTAAAATACATATATATATATATATATATATATATACATATACAAAATATGTTTTCTTATTTTCAAAATGGGGGATGGGTCACAGCAGTACATGTCATGGGGTGAGTATAATGAATTGCACAAATTAAAATGAAGTGTATGACCCACAGTGAACATTGCATAACTATACACTGTTCTTTGACAGTAAAAGAAAAAAACTTACTTTTTACAACAGAAAAGGAAAAACAAATAATGCCTTGTATTGTTGATATGATAATTAAATAAAATAACATGCATACTGCTTAGCATGATACCTGATGTTCTTAATAAATACTAGTTATGAGAGCAGGGATGAGTGTGAACCAAGATTTTCAGCTCATGGCCCTTCTGACAAAAGTCATATATAGTTCAAATATAGTTAGGGCTGGTAAAATATAGATTTTCATCTCCTTTCTATTAATTTGAAGGAAATGGAAGAAAACCTATGTATGCCTTGATGTTTTTCAGAAACACATTTTAAACAAATAAGATAAAGGAATACCAAGATATTATCTGATTTACAAATAACTGAAAATTCAAAAATCAAAATTAAACTTTCTTTTCTGGGGTTACATAAATATATCATAAACTAAAAATATTTATTTTGATGCTCCTGTCTTCTTACGTTCTCCTAAGTTTCATTCAATGACTAAAATGACAAGTAAATGATGCTTCAAGACTAGAAGTAATGTTTCTCTGCATATGAAAAATAGCACACATTTCTAAACTACAGAACCCTCCTGCTTTGTCATAATACATCTTTAGTAAATCCAACCTTTAAACAAGCCATAGAAGCTTTATCACATATCATATGTACATCAACATATGTCAAAAGGTAGTATCTAATATTTTATAAAGTTAGATTATACATGATCTACCTGTCTAAATTGAGATATACATAAAAATGCCTCATATGCACATATGTAATGTATGTAACAGTAAGAATGTATAAGATAGAATATTTGGATATGTCGGTCTTTATCCCATGAGACAGAAAACCTTGGATAAAATTGGTATACAAATAAGTAAAATATTTTTATGATTAATTTCATCTCACAATTTCTACCTATAGTATCACTTACCTTTTGCTGGCACTTAATTTTGTTTCCCTAACTAAAATGATCATTCTGCAAAATACAATACAGTAAGACTCCTATAAAATATTAAATGGGTTTTAGAAAGAAATAAGAAAAATAGAATTATTAAAATGCTTTCGTCACAAAAGTAAGCATCTTTAATGAAAAAAGATATTTTATCATGAAACAAAACAATGTCAATAATCAGAGCCAAAACTAAAAATGGCATATAATTAATAAAGTATTCCTAAAGTCTGGATAGTTTGTGCCAGTTGTGAGTGAATTTTTCAATTTTCCCCTGGGTATTTGCCATCATGTCCATCATGTATACTATAAAGTGATAGTCAAGGTCTGTGTCTATCTATGAAAGTAAAGTGAAAAACTTGAATTATTCAAATACCACCCCCCTCTCCCAAATAATCTCAACATATCCTTTCATAAGTGAACACTGAAGAGTTTGGGCTTTTTGTGAGCATGCAGCCCACAGCCAAAACATTGCTGCGTGATAGCACAAACCTCTAGGGGGTGCAATTAAAATATCTGGATTGTATATTTTATCATGTGGAGTGTAAATTCTTAAAAGAAGCTGTTATTTAGGAAGTGTTATGCACATTTTTCTCCTAAGAACCCTTGAAAGATCTGTCCAGAGTGCTGACAAGGTTTCAGCAGGAGAAGGCTGGAGATTCGATGGGACGCACACTACTCACCCAATGAGTTCAGAAAGCAGTATTTTCAAGTCCCAAACCAATTGCCGTTTTAGATGAAAATAAACATGCATAAAGGACAGAAATAGACACAACTGATTCTTAAATGTGTGATTACATTGAGGTAATTGAGAAATTGAAGGAGAAAACTCCCTGTTCTCCATAAAAAAAAACAGCAAGAAGCACACCTAGCAAGAAGTAGCATACCTGAACACTCCATAGCTGACAGTAGAATGTCATGCAACTAGGGCTTCCACAGAAAACCCCGGCTTAAGCCCCACTGGAGGAAGGGCTGCACGTAGTCCCGGTCAATGCACCTTTGGCTGCTTCAAACGGCCAGTGGCCAGCATTAGAGACACAAACTAGCTCTACCTTTGTCTTGAGAAACTCAGAACAATAAAATACCATGTAGGGAATGGAGAAGAAGGTGGAAAGGAGGAGTGGCCTTTTCACTGGTCTGCATCAATTTCTTATTGAAAAGTAAAGTCCTGGAGAACCTATCTGCCTGGCTACTCAATGTTACAGTCCAGCTAAGGCAGTGTCAAGATTAGGTATAAATCAGCACAGGAGCTTGCCATCCTCTCCTAAATTTCCCTTCCACACAGTAACTGCTCTGAAGGGAAATGAGAGCAGCTGTAAATTCGAGCACAGGTGAAAGAGCCCTCCAGGCGGACCCGTCGCTTCCCTGGAGAGGTCCTAATGCTGGTTAGGCTCCGGTCACCGGCCAGCCTTCACACTCATGGGCCTGCCCTGGGTTTTCTTCCCTAAGTCGCTGCAGCCTGGGCTCCCTCCTTGGCATGCCGCTCACGCTGCCGCCTTGGGGTAACTAGCCGGCTTTGTGTCCGAGGGGAAAGATAAATCCATGGGAGAGGAAAGAGCGGGAGGGCTCCGGCTGGTGTTCAAAGAGAGGCAACAGAGCCTGAGTGAAAGAGATGTGCTTTCAGCACCACCCGCTGTCCCCCCTCTTCCTGCAGCAGGCGCCACTCGCGGCCGCTAACCGGTCTATTGAAAAGCAATTCTCCGTCCTCTTTCCCTCTCCACCTTTGCTTCTCACAATTCCGAGCCCTCGGGTGGTTTGCGGGAGCACACTCTGCATTCGAAACCACGCGCACCTGGTCTTAGAGAGCGGGAACTTAGATCCGAAGGCATGCAGAATCCCCTTTTCAACCCTTGCAGTTCTTCCCTGCTTCACCCCATTGCTCGCGCCTTTTCCCCCAACAGGTTTAATGAAGGCTGTTTGCAAATGGAGCAGACTTGCATCTTGTCGGCTTTGGCCACCCCCGCTCCACCCGCGTCCCCCTCCCCCAAACCAAACTATGAGCTACTCAGCAAGCTAATAGATCCTCAATCCTTCTCTGGCCAGGGGACACTTGGGCACACAGACACTTAGCAAGCTTACCCCCCTGTTGACTGCGCAGCGAGCAGTGAGACTCGGTCTAGCTAGCCCCCCGAAAAGTTGGGCCACAGGGATCAGCGGGGCAGAGCCGGCCTCTCCAGTCCCCGGCTTCCCCCCTAAGATGATCTCAAGCTCATCCCCTCCACTCAGCGTGCGCAGAACAGCCGAGCTGAGGGCGGCGTGTGCAGCAATCTCCCCGCTACTGAGAAAGGGGGGAAGGGGGGAAGGGGAGAGAGCGGAGGAGGGAGGGGTGGTAGTTTGTATTTATAGAGAACAGAGTTCTTTGCGCAACTTTTTGGTGCCACCAAGTGGCACAGTGAGTTCCTTTAGGAACACAGACTCCTGGGTGAATCTGGATGGGTAGACCAGCTCTGCAAACAGATGCTCACATGGCAAGGGAGCTGGAGGCACTCCTAGGACTTAGTTTTCACATGTTTACCATCATATCTCAGCACCTGTGATACAGATTCCTAAATTCTAAGAATAATTCTGTACTGAGTGAGAAAGGGTACCTATGCCTTCCTCAGACAGGTGGAAGCAGTGTCAAGGACATGGTAGGTCCCAGTTGTCTCCTAGGAGTATAGACATCCTTGTCTCAGGAGAAATATCCATTATTTTCTTCTTCCTAACCCCTCTGCCCAAATTACACTGCATTCATATTTTACTCTAAAACCTTCTTCTTGCCACGCTGACTGCCTAATCTTTAAACTGAATTGGCATGTATTTTCTTTGTCATCAAATTTTCACCAATGTTTACCTTAATAATAACATATGACTTAATGACGTTAGGCTCTCTGGATCCGAACCTTTCTAAACAGCTCTCAGAACTCCAGTTCACTGAGATGCAGGCTTGATGTCTGATTTTCCTCACTCATTTCCACAGACCTCTCAGCATGCATTATCCCAACAGCACAGCCAGGATCTTGTCAACTGCCCTTAATACTCTGAGGAAGAATCCCCTAAAGCTCTCTTTATCCATATTTTATGAGTGTTCTTACTTCTTAGTATGCAGATCCTCAAACAAATACATAGACACTACTGTATGGGAACTTCATGTCACCAAATGCAGAAGAACTTCTACATTTTTCAGTAAAGAAACTGAGTACATGAAGGTTAAGGGGCTTGTTCAAGGTCACGTTTCTCTACAGACCAGCCCAGGACTACCTAGCATAGAACTGAATGAACACAGTGATGCCAAACCTGATCCACCTGTTCTTGTTCTTTCCACTACCCTAGTCAGCCTATTCAGTTATTTTCAGCTCCCTTTTCTCCTCTCTCTCTCTCTCTCTCTCTGTCTCTCTCTCTCTCTCTCTCTCTCTCTCTCTCTCTCTCTCTCTTCTCTCTCTCTCTCTGTGTGTGTGTTGGGGGGGGGGGACAGAGATCATCCTCTGCCAAAGTTCCATAAAGGAACCAAGAGCAAACATGTCTTCCTAGCTCCACTGGGAGTACATGAACTTCAGTTCATAGGTCCAGAGTTGCAGGTGTACCATCTTTACATGACCCACAGTTCTAGAAAAACCTCTCCCTCCTAGTACTGTAGTCCTTTTAGAAATGGAACACTGACATTCACACCCAATCAGGTCCTTTCTTTGCTGCCTCTTGTTGGGGTGAAGCACCAGCAAGTGATCTTATTAGCTCCCCAAACACCTAATGGGGCTCAAAGGTAGAGAAGCCTCTCTCCCTTGCTAAATGCATGCCTTCCATGCACTTGTATCGGTATGACAGACACACACACACACACACACACACACACACAGAACCAAACGTATCCTTTGGCTCAGATCTTTATTTTTTCCTCCTCTGATTTTTTTTTAGTTCGTTTTCTATGGAAACGAGCCCACTTAAATCCCTCACTTATGCAAATAAAAGCAAAATGATCTTCATAAACCTCCCATTGGAGCGATGCCGCGGTAGCCCAGGCTCCTGACTTAAATTTATGTCTGATTCACACAGCACACGTCCTTGCAGGGTGACTTTTCTAAACTTGCAGGACCTCGTAGCGTCCCTGGCTCCACCAGTCCTCCACCTGCCCACCACCTGCCCTCCTGGGTCTCTTAGCCCCAGCTCCCGCCCCTCGCCTGATTGCTCTCCATCCCTGCGCTGGGGGAGGGGCTCCAGCGGTATCCTATATCCGTGGTAACTACAGCCAAGAGAAAGAAAAAGGCGCTGTGCTTACCAGGTGCGCGCCCTGAGCCTTGCGCCCCCAGCCAGCCGCTCCTCGAGGGCTTCCTGCGCTCCCGTAGCGGCCTTGGCTGCAGCTGGAGCGCTAGTGTCAGCGATGGAGGCAGCGGTGACAGCAGGCAGAACGGCTGCGGGGCCCGCGGCGGTGGCGCTCGCTCTCTCGCGCCAGCGCCGGGAGCACGTGCCGCGCTCGGGCAGACGCAGCTGGGAGCGCAGCGCTGGGCTGGCTTCTACTCCTGCAGCGCGCGGCGGGGGTTGGCAGAATGGTTAGGGCAAAGACTCAGTGGGTGAATAAGAGTCTTGAAGCCTCGTCGTTTCGGGGTTCAGGCAAGGGTAGCCCTGGGCTCCCTGTCCTGCTCCTCACATTCCCTCCGGGAGCCATGGAAGGAGGAAAGCTGTGCGGGGGAGGCGTGGGTGGTGTGTCATTCAGAAGCTCGTGGGGCAGGTAGATAATAAGGTTCTTTTTGACTATGGCACTTAAACCACTTAAACCCCTGACAATGATTGGGAGAAGGGGCGTCACTGCTGGAGGATAGAGAGAGGTAGAAGTCAGGGAACCCCGAGATGATTCAGAAGTGTGAGTGGTTAGAAAGAAGGGCCTCTAATGATGCTACTTATGAATAATACCATTTTGCATTTGTCTGCACTTCTTACAAACGATTCTTTCTACATCCATTAAAATTTCTTCTTTGCTGGCAGTTGAATGTCTTTTACTTTCTCAAATGACTTTGATTCCCTTCCTTCACCACCTCCATAACTGCCCAGAATTGTCAGATATACTAAGGTTATCTTTAAATACAAAAAAAAAAAAAAAAAAAAAAAAGACTTCATTTCTGGCTCTGAAAAGGAGATTGGTATAAATTACTTGCATGGCTTAATTTAAAGAAAAGAAAGACATTGCGGTAATATTGTATTTCCCTAGCTGAATTTTAGGAACCAGGTGCTTGCAGCAGCTGGGTGAAAGATTAAAAGATGAGTGCACTAGTCGAGGGGACTGGTGCTGATGCATTCATTAATAATGCTCCTTAGATTTTCCACCAGACCCTTGTCAATAAGTTAAGACACTGTTCAATAGCTTCAGGATTTAACAAGAAAAAGAAAGAGATGTATCTACCACACCTTGCTGAGTTTTACAACGGCACCTTCTTGCATTTTCATGTCTACTGATGGGATAGTTGTTATGTTTTGTAGTTCTTTGATTGCAAGTCACAAAACAAGTTTTAGAACTTTAGAGAGGGGCCAGGAAAGCTGTGAGTGATCTTCCTTAATGTAAAAGAAAGAAAGATGTCATAGAGGAGAAAATAGAAAGATAGCATAGGTGAGAAAATACGAAAAAATGGAGTTCATAGGAGAACGGAGGGTAACATAACTAGATGATTCTGGTGATGCGATTAAGTCTAATGAATAAAGTGATTTATTGATCCAACTGTCTGAGGAATTAACAATAACGATAAGGTCAAATTTGAGTCCTTGTATGAGACACTTAGCTTTGCATGAGCATAGGGCACTCCAGGTTTCTATTTTTCTTCATCAGTTGGAGCTGCATCAAAATACATTAGTGAATGGGAAAGAAGGAGTTCTCATGTTGGTCACTCAATCACCCCAATTCTTCAATTTCCTACACATATTTCCTTCTTTCCTCTCTCCCAGTGTTATGAAGAGAGTGGGATGAGATAAGACATGTCAAAGTATGTCAAAAAATGACAAAGCACTCCATAAATGTAATATCTGCTTACCAAGATATATCCGCTTCTTATGCTCTAAAGATGAAAAGCTGAAGGACATTCTCTATCATTAACAATAGCAATATTTTCAGATGAGAAGGAAAACATGATAATATAATCTTAAAATTGTTCAGTGACATTTTAAAATATAGCTTTGTCTCATAATTGTAAAGTGCTGAATTAGGCAAAATTAAAAGGAATATAGGAGCAATGTTTTAAGTCCCAAAAGTAAGTCCTGATTAAAATGCCTCACAGATATATATAACTTTTGCCTTAGGATAAGCTATTAATGAACAAAATACTTTAATTCTTATATAGAACAGTAGAAAAAAAAGAATGGAAGCTCATTCATTCTCAGAATTGATCAAGCTTAAAACTTGAAATCTTCATTCATTCCTGTCTTATACGTGAGAATTTGTCATGACATCCTGTTAGCTCTAGCTTTAAAATATATCCTAGAGTCTTACCACTTCTAACCACTTTCACAGATACCATGTTGAATCAATCGACTATCATCTTTTACCTGCCTTACAGAAATAGATTCCAAACTAGTACAGGCTATATTCAGCACGGGATCCAGAGTGATCCTTTAAAGAAGTTACCTTAAATTGAATCCCTCCAGTAACTTCTGATTTCACTTGGAGTAAAAGCCTAAGTCCTCTCAAAAAATATTTAGAATATTTAAATAAATATTTATGAAAACAGAACAAAACCTGTTATATGTTGCCCTTCATTGTCCAAGTTGGCAACATTGACGGTAAATCATGTTAATGCTTGCAGGAGGTCTGAAAGACTACTGAGTGACAGCACCTTTTCCTAATATGGGCATATCTATCCACCTCTTACGTTGTGTTTTTGCATTTGTGATTCTCAGACTTAGCTAGCTCACATTCGAGACTTCAAGGGGGTTATAGAAATTCTAAATGTTTTGCAAGTATGTCGTTATCTGAACTCATTAAAGGTTATAAGTGGCTTAAAAAGTAATTTCTAAAAGAATGTTTTTATTAATTTAATGAACACTCATTAAGCATCTATTATTGCTATTATTTTTTTGCCAGTTACTGTACAAAGTACAATAGAATAATATACAAAATATTCATATATATATATATATACTTGCTTGGCCTTATAAAACTTTAAGTTATTACATATGTGTTTGAGTGCTTACATGTTTAAATTTATTCATCCATGCCATTTATTAAATATTTATGAAACTATCATGTACCAGGAATGGCTAGGTGTTTGGGATGCAATGATGGATGAAATACAATTTGTCTCCTGTCCTTGTGAGGCTTAAAGTAAGGAACAC